TAGTATTTCCCAATCCCAACACAAAGATCTCAATAAGTTGCTTTGTTCCCTACAACATGTTGCCAAAATAAACACCTTTTAACTCCAATCAGCCACTCCAACTGCAGAACAGCAGGAAGGGAGAATGGATTATGTATCACAAATGTCCCATGAGAAAGCAGTTTAAGGTCTGCCTCTCCCCTTACCTCGTTCCCTTTCACGATCTATTAATGTCTGTCTGCTCAGATATAAGAATGCAAACTTTATGGAACTGTGCTATAAACTAGACCAGCAGAGCAATCTGAGTTACACTGTAGTGCAAGTTTTCTTGCTTAGAAAAAGTCTGCTACAGATTACTTTGAACAAATGGATTTACAGTGCAGCCTAACAGTTATGGTGACATAAGAGTGATGAACTCCAACAGTTACCTCCTGCAAATCCAATTTTATAATGGATTAATGCTGTGAGATAACAGAAAATATCACTGATGAAGGAGAAGAATGAAACGCAAGAGAAGAGAATACTGCCATTCAACCACAGATTCCATTTTTCTTCTTCAGTAAAATTAAAGATCTGATAGAAACTTAATTGTTCTATTAACTCGGAACTTCAGCACCATTTGCTCAAAAGATGTGTACATTAGGTAGAGAACATAATTTCCAAAACAGCATGCACCAAAAAAAACCCCAAACCAACCAAACAAAAATACAAAACAAAAACCAAAACAAACAAACAAAAACCCACAAAAAACCACAAAAATACAAAACAAAAACCAAAACAAACAAACAAAACCCACCACCAAAAAACTCCACAAAAACAAACAAAAACCCCAACGAAAACAAAAAACCAACCAACCAAACATCTCCACCAAACCAGAACAACCTCCATTAAAAGTAAGCAGAAACTTTTTAACTTTTGTTGCATGGTAGACCCACAATGAAAGAGATCCACCTAAGACAGAAGCACCCACCTTGAGAAAACACACATCTCATGACAAAGATATGGCCAAGAGAGGACAGTGGGCTGAAATCACATTAAGGTACTGGCAACTAACAGCAGTGCCAGAGAGGAGATACACAGAGGTGGGGTTTCTTTCTCTTGTCCTTTACAGGTCTTCATGTCATACAGGTCTGCACACTTTGGCTAAACTACAATTCAAAAAAGTGTTAGGAAGATCTGGTCATGGTAATTAATTATGAGTACCCAGACTGCTTTATGACAAGTGTTAGGATGCAGCGGACACCGCACAAGATTTTCTCAGCAAGCTCAAGGTTCAAGATGGTGATAGTCAAGAGACAGCAAGCACAAAAATAATTACAGCTTAGTGAAATGAAATAAGTATAGAGTAGCACAAATCCCTGAAGAAAAAAAAAGATGATGACACTGTTTTAACACCAAAAAGGAAAACCACGCAAACAGGAACTCTGGTTGCAATGATAAAGAACAAGGGCAGATCACAGAAGATACTACACCAGGGGAAGCAGAAGAACGTCGTGCAAACATGGAATAAGACCAAAATGGAAACAAGAAATTAACTGGAAAGAATATACCCGTTCTAAGTGCCTCAGCAGGCATATCCCCATATCCATTTAAGAGCTCAACTCAATGATCCTTGTGGGTTCCTTCCAACTCGAAATATTCTGTGATACCATAGACTGCCCAGGGAAAATAAGACACCATGTGGCAGAGGATTACACACAGTATTGAAAGAGGTCAAAGAGGGTAAGAAAGAAGGGGAATCCTTTCAACTTGGGCAGAAGAAGAAGTTTGTAGAACCATTACTGAAGACAATTTCAGCACAACACAGAATATGGATTGGAATTAATTTAGTATGAAGAGACAGGACAAATATACATTCCTCCATTCAGGAGTTTGAAAAGAAGGGAAGCAGACTGGAGCTGACTGTCAGCTGAGGACTGATAATAGTAACTCAGACCAAAATTAGGAAGGGAATAAGATGGCAGCAAGAGGTAAAACCCAGTAATTTGGAATTAAAACAGGAAAATTGAATGAATGGGGCTTTGGGGTCAGACTAAGCAGTTAAAAACGAGAAAAAGCAGAAGGCAAACATGCAAATCCATCTCTGTAAGCAGCAATCAATAGTGCTGAGCAAAGGTAAACAAGTCAATTCTAATCAGTTTTTCTCTGGAAATCTTTAGATTCTGCAGGGGAAGAGATACAGGAAAAGGCCTGAGGCATTGCTTTAGACAGCCTGCAAAGCAAAGGAACTGGGAAATGCATTCAGTAGCGAAAACGGATAATTGAATATGAAATAAGAGTCAGGAAGAAGACAACAAAGAAATCTACCCTGTTCAACTATCAGTCACAGGTAGGTGCATTATCACAAATAAGAGGAGGTGGCAGTCATGAGAAAGGGACCTGGAGGTGCAGTACTCAGATAAGATGGCTGGCAGAATCAAAACAGAAGTAATCATTTCTCTCAGAAACAGAAATGAGGATTAGCAGATGAAAATCAAATAGGCTACAGAGCTGAAGAATGAAGTCAATGAGAAATCAACTTGAAAAACAAAGTCATAAGGAATGAGGATGAGCAATCCGCAGCAATGGGAGAGACTATGTCAAAGACCAACATGCAGCTACAAAGAGAGAAGCAAAAAGTAAGTGAGGCAATATGAAGGAATGTCTGATGGACCCCTGCCCAGGAAAAACGGAAGAGGGGAAAGTACAAAGACAGTGGTAGATGAGGAACATAACATTTATTTTTAATGATAAAAGGGAGGATAAGACAGACATTAGGATCTAATGTAATGCTGTACTGTAGGTTGCAAGGCTTCTGCAATCCGTATACCAGACAAACTGCTGATAAAATATTCAGCAACTAGCCCTTGATTTGGATTTCCTGAGGAGACACAACATTGCTTATGGCTGGGGTGTTAAATAAACAGCCATTCTTTATATTTCAGTTATATATATGGGATACAAAGCTCAATTACTGTACCATATCTTGCCACACATGACGAAAGCAAATGAAAAGTTCAATAGTGCACTATTAACATCACACACCATGACAGTGGAAGACAAGTGTCACCGAAAAACAAAATCAATCAGTTGAAACCCATGAACAAGCCAGATATGTAAACCAATTGATCTTCTACTTCCTATTTCAGTCTAACGTTACCCATAAATAAGCCTGCATTTTTATTTAAGAACAGAACAGTGAACAGCAATTCAAATTCATAAAGAAGATCTAGAAAGGGCCTACTAATCACTTCAAAAAAGCAATTTGGATAGGAATCACAGAAAATAAGGTTGGAAAAGACTTCAAAACATTACTTCAAAATATCAGCTTCACTCTCAGTGCTCCAAGTCTGTATCAGCTTTCCTTAAGCCACTCCTGACAGATGTTTATCTAAAGTTGTTGGGTTTTTTTTAGCAAACCTCAAGCAATACAGACTCCACAATACCCCCTGGCAGTCTACTGCAGTGACCAAACAACTTCAAAATCTTCCCCTATCATTTAGCATACATCTCATTCTCTAATTCAAACCATTTCTTCACGCACCATAAAGCTGATTGCCTTCCTCTTTGCAGCAAATCTGCTGTACAGAAAGAATGTTCCCTATTGCAACTGGACAGCTCTCTGCAGTGTTCTGCATCGGAAGGACAGAGCCCTTATATAAAAAAAAAAAAAGTCTGCCTGAACGGATGAGCTACAAAAACTCATCTCTGTGATGAGTCATCTGGGACAGCAGAGACGGACTTTCCCACATAAGCAGTCTGCTGGAAGCTGGATTCAGCCACCGTAAGTGACACAGCCAAAGGAAGCTAACATTTACAAGCGAGCAAAGCACAGCCAAGGCATCAGTCGTGATCGCTCGTCCTACAGCCTTCAGAAAGGAGCCAAGCAAAAACAACAGCACAGCCTTGGCCGTGTTGTTCAAAGGGAAAGTTAAAACGGGAAGCAGAGCTGCAAACTGGAGCGTTGGGTGGAGCTCCCAATTGTGCCTTGCCTGGCAGCACCACTCTGGGGGAAAAAAAGGAGTCAGTAAGGGCAAAGCAGAGCGAGGGGGGAGGGGGAAGAAGGAAAAATCGACCTCGGAAACAAGAGATATGCGTGGAACCAATCACACATAGGGAAAAGGATGTAGGGAGGCACCTGAAACCCTGGCCACAGAGTGGAGAAGGGGGCTGGGATTAGGAATGCCTCCCTTTCCAGGGGCAGTGGACTTGAGTGAGGCCCTGGGCATGATTTCCTCCCATGAAATTGCCTCTCTCTCTGGGGGGGGGGAGGGGGGTGGGCGGCAAGTAGGGACCCCAAAGAACATACTGCAGGGAAGGGCAGGGCGTGTAGAGCTATCTAGGGAGGTGTACTGAGGCATGGCAGAGGGGAGGAGGCGGTGAGGACGCCAGGACAGTGGTGCAAGGCACTACGACGGTGGCAGGTGAGAACTGGAGGTATGCAGCTGCAGCCATGGCAGGGGATGGGAGCAGGGTATGGTAAAGATTGCAAAGCTGTGGCAGGGCTGGGGGAAGAAGTGGCAAGATGATGCTGATCCGCAGGGGAAGCAGCACACAGAGCAGCGCGCAGAGGGTGGAAGTGCGCAGCACGATAGGATCAAGGCTATGTGGGGGGGGTGAACAAGCGGGTGCAGAGGGTCGTTCCCAGCCACGAAAGAGCAAGGGGAGAGCAAAGGGGGGGGTTAGAGCCACGGGAGAGCAGAGCTGTCGGTGGGGTGTGAGTCGGGGAGGGAAAAGCAAAGGGTTCCCAGCCATGGGAGAGTATGGTTACAGGTCGGGATGCAGCGAGCGCGCAGCCACGGGAGAACGGCGCTACAGGTGTAGCAGGGGATGCGCTGCCACGGGAGAGCGGGGCGCCGGTGGCGGGAGGCAGCGAGGCGGTGCAGCCACGGGGAAGCCGGGCAGGGGTACGAGGGGATGCACGGCCGGCACAGAGCGGGGGGGACGAGGGGCTGCGCAGCCACAGCACAGCGCCAGGGGCGGCCCCGGGGCGGGGGTGCGGAGGAGGGCAGGGGAAGGGAGGGGGGGGCCGGGCCGCTCACCTGCGCGGCGGAGCTGCAGCAGCCCATGGCGTCCGCGGGTCTGTGCCCCGGCGGTGCCCGCCGGGCATCCACTCGCCGCGACTCCCCCCGCCCCCGGGGGCGGCGGCGCGGTGCGAGGCCGGCAGGGAGGGAGCGCGGGGCCCACTCAGGCGAGCGCGGCTGCCGCACGAGCAGCACAAGCACCAACACAAGCGCCGCCGCGGCGCCCCCTCATCCTCTTCCTCCTCCCCCTCAGCCCGCGGCGGCTCCGGGAGGGGCGGGGCCTGCGAGGGGGCGGGGTCTTCGGGGGGCGGGGCCAGGCACTGCGGCGCGGGGGGTCCTGGCCCGCCCACTGGCCCCGCCCCCCGGCTCGCTCCGCCGCTTCCGGTGCCGCCATGTCTCGGTGCCGGGCCGGTCCCGGCCCGCGGGGGCCGAGGGCTGGGGTATGTCGAGGGTTGGCGTCCAGGGCCGTGCTCAGCCCTCGAGCTCACCCAGCCCTCGGCCCCCCGCGGGACAGCGGCGCCCCCCCACGCACCTCGCTACAGCCCCCTCTCAGGTGGTTGTAGAGGGCGATAAGGTCACCTCTGAGCCTACTTTTTCCCCAGGATAAACCCCCAGCTCCCTCAGCTGCTCCTCGTAGGATTTGTGCTCCAGACCCTTCACCTGTTCCATTGCTCTTCTCTGGACACGCTCCAGCGCCTCAGTGTTTTCCTGAGCTGAGGGGCCCAGAGCTGGACACAGAACTCGAGTTGCAGCTTTACCAGTGCTGAGTGGAACCATCACCTACCTGGTCCTGCTGGCCACACTTTTGCTGACACAAGCCAGGATGCCATTGGCCTTCTCAGCCATCCTGGCCCATGTTCAGCCAGCTGTTGGCCTTCTCTGCTGAGCAGCTTTCCAGCCCCTCTGCCCCCAGCCTGTAGTGCTGCATGGGGTTGTTATCACCCAAGGATCTGGCACTTGGCCTTGTTGAACCTCATACCCTTGGCCTTGGCCCATTGATCCAACCTATCCAGATCCCTCTGCAGAGCCTTCCTACCCTCAGCATGTCAACATTCCCACTCAACTTGGTGTCATCTGCAAACTGGCTAAAGAGGCACTCAATCCCCTCATCCAGGTCATTAATAAATATATTACACAGGACTTGCCCAAATACTGAGCCCTGGGGAACACCACTAGTGGCCCACTGCCAAGCCAAGGTAGCACCATTCACCACCCTTCTCTGGGCTCTGCCATCCATCCAGTTTACTACCCAGAGAACAGTGCACCAATCCAAGCCATGAGCAGCCGGTTTCCCCAGGAGAATACTGTGGGAGACAGAATCAAAGGCTTTGCTAAGGTCCAGGTAGATTAAATCCACAGTTTTTCCCTCGTGCACTAAGTGGGTCGCTTTGTCATAGAAGAAGATCAGGTTGGTCAATCAGAATCTGCCCTCCCAAAACCCATGATGACTGGGCCAGATCCCCTGATTGTTCTGTACATGCTGTGTGATCACACTCAAGATGATCAGTTCCATAACCTTCCCTGGCACTGAGGTCAGGCTGATAGGCCTGTAGTTTCCCAGATCCTCCATCCTGTTCTTCTTCTAGATAGGTGTCACATTGGCTAACGTCAGTCCCTCTTAAGGTATGTTTACTGGCCCAGTAGCTCTGTTTGAACATGGCCTAAATGTATGAAGCAACACTCGCAGTTCTCAGTAGCAGAATTATTCTATCAATATAGTAGAATATCCATGATTAAAATAACATCGTAATGATTTAAGTTTAAAATGATCCTTAAGCAGAATGAGGCAAAAGAGACCTTGTGACTAGAGAAGGAGTTTTGTAGGCTTCCAAAATAAAACAGAAACTGTCATGTGGGCGAGTTGTGAATCATGCTGGGTTTTTTTAGTTCTTCTCAGTTTAATGGCAAGTAGAATCACAGAACCATTTAGATTTGAAAAGACTTCTGAGATCATCGAGTACAACCATAACCCCAGCACTGCCAAGTCCACCACAAAACCGCATCCTTAAGTGCCACATCTACATATCTTTTAAATACCTCCAAGGTTGATGACTCATCAGTAACATCACAATTTTCACATTTTCTAATAAAAAAATTAGAAAAAAGGTTAAAATACCCTTTTGCCATTTACGTGTACATTGCCATTATATTCCATTGTTCCATCTCATTCTATTCAAATAATTCTGTGGTATTCCAGAAGGTGTGGCTATCAAGGTACTGCTTTGCAGGAACAGTCTCTAGAAGGGATGTGTCTTTTGTGATTGACACAGAAATAGATAACAAGAAATCTGTAGTCAGTTCTTGTGTAACTTTGGACATGTTACTCCTGTATCTCTGTTCCTCCATTTTGCCATTTATAAAATTGACTTTTGTCCCAGTTTTTGTCTTTTCTGTTTGCTTGGGTAACAAAAGCATGATGACTATGCCATAGATGTACTTTAGTCAGTCTGTTAAACAGACCAAATTCAATTTTTTTAAATAATCCATTCATTTAGGACTTCCACTTCAATTGCTTCATTTAGGACCTCAGAGTGTTGTCCTGGTAATTAAATACTGTCTCTCTTTTGGATGTAGAATAAACATGTACAGCATGATTATCAGACTATAGTAATGGGTTTAAAACACAGTCCTGCAGAGACTTGTAAACCCTTAAAAAAAAAAAATCCTAGCCAATAATCAAAAGCTTTTTGCAGCTGCAGGGGGGTAATGGTATCTTTATAGTGATTAAAAAATGACAGATCTTCATTTTCTGGGGGAGCCTTTATGGAAAAGCTTGTAAAGACATACCGGCTGTAGCACAGGTAACTGGAGTTTCGTGTAAGTATATGAGAACTGTAGAAAGTATTTGAACAAATATCAATGTTAGAAATAATCACTGGAATCTCTGCCTCTGGACTGAGGAAATTAGTTAGTTTTTGATAGGGGTGTGGTAACAGCAGCAGTGGTAGTTACCTGGCTTTCATTAGTTTTATTGCGTTTTGTTTGGCCAGTCACACAAAGGAGAGGAAATGTTAAAAGATTCTGGCTTATTCATGATTGTGCGTGCTTTTATATTTATTTAGATTAGCATTTAATGAAGCAACTGAAATTGGAATTGCTGAATCTTAGTTCAGTCATGCAGAAGTTGAACTTTAAGCATATGCCTAAGTGCACTTCTTGAATTGCGCTTTATGGATTCCTTTCTGATGCTGAATGTAACCTGCTCTAAGGCACGGTTACATCACAAGCTGCTAAAGAGCAAATCTGACTGCACAAGTCTACCATTAATAAAAAACTAGCTTTTTTCTGTAACAGATTTGAGTCTGCCCTTTTCTCCTCACCAATAAGGATGAGCTTTATCTATATTTTCATTTCATTGCTAGACTGAGAATGACACGTTGTAGTTTTTGAAGCACCGTTTGGTACTGAGAGAGACAACAGAGACAAGGCCCAAGAATGACAAAAAATGCCTTTGCACTTGAAAATTGTAGGTTGTGTCCAGACTGCTTCCATTCTGGGAAGAAAGCATGAATTGTATGGTAATATTTACCTTTTCTTTTCTCACTAGGTGTAGGATCCTGAGCTTATCCATCCATATTTAAACACCTAAAGACTCTACAGAGTACAAAACAGTCTATATCTATTGTTCTGTATTAATGAGAGAAATACCTTTAAAATAGCATTAACTAAAATTCAGTCTATTTGGATATGTTTTAAAGTATAAGTTTTGGGGTGTCATTTTGAAACAGGCTCAGTACTGAGCTAAGTGCTCAGTCTGAAGTTGGCCTTGCTTTGAAGAAAATGAAATGGGAAGAGATGCATTGTGCAGACTAAAAATTGGGTATTGCACCAGCAAGGCATTGTTACAGCCTGTGTGTTTGTCTCCTTCTTCTAATCGACAAAATCTGCTTATTATCATTCTGCTGACTTCTTCCACCTACCAATAAATCTGCATCTATCTGTGCTTGGCAAGCACTCTATATCTTTAAAAATCCCATCCTGCGTGCTTATCTTCAGTATTCCTAGGATTGGTTTTGTTTGGTTTTGTTTGTTTTGTTGTTGTTGTTGTTGCTGTTGTTGTTTTGTTTTTGTTTTTCTAATTTATTTAAATACAGAGCCACACATATTCCCTCCATAATATACCCTGTGAACATACTGTTAACTTTCATACACGTGTATCAATGCAGGATTAAGAGTGATCCTGATGATTTCAGCAGAATACTAACAAAAGTACATCATGAGAAGGCATTCCAGCAAACAAATGGCAAATAGGATGTCAGCCCATCTCTATAAGTGATATGGGGATAAAGCCCACTGAACTATTCAGAGCCCTGTGGTCCCATATATCTCGGAACCCATGTGAAGCCAATCATCTTTCTCAAAAGTTAAACCATGCTGTTGCACTTTTTTGAATGCTGTGGAAGTACAGCATGGATGCTTGTGTCGAGTCACGCAGGAAACCAGTCACAAGGCAGAGAACTCCAGCTTGTATACTGGCCATCCTGTCAGTTGTGAATTTTAGTCAGCCGAGGTAAAAATATTCAAGGGATCCTGCTTTGCCATTAGAATGGCAGGATTCTTACAGGCTTTTTCATCGCTGACTAAGAAAAGATGCACAGCACTCAGTAAGTCTAAGCTCTCACAAATTAAAGCTAAGATTTTCTTCTTGCTGTATGTCTGGCCACAGAAGAACAGGTTAATTCAGTAAACTTACTGAGAAAGTCAGAAGACCTGCTATGATTCTACTTTGTGCTGCAACCCCTTGAGTGGGTCATGTTAGGTCTGTTTCAATTTGAAAACTGGAGACACCAAGGAAAGAGAAAGAGCAGAGAGCTTTTTGAATTAATAAAGAGGGTGAAATTTTCTTTCCCCAGTGCTCAGTCAAAATTTTGGTGCATTGTACTCTTAGAGATGTAACCTTCTGGTGAGAGGACAGAGGTGTACAGTGGAGGTCCTGTCTCTGGGACATATCAAAAATATTCAGGACTCCTTAGAAGAATAAAGTGTTGGTGTGTTGGCAAAATGGCTTTCTAAACATTTAGTTTAGGTACTGCTTTGTACCTACAGTAGTCCATTCATGCCATACTGAAAGTTATAGATATTCTTTGTATATTAAAACGTGTTGCTTTGCACTATTTAATACCTGTTGAATTTCATTCTGATGTCAGATCACCTGTGCA